TGGACATCTCCTCCGCCTGATACGTGTCGCCTGATATGTGTCGGCTAATTAGAAAAACAACATAATGCGCTACATTAAAGTCGTTAGTGCTAATCAAGCGGGGGCTAATGTATCTGCTCCCCGCGGGAACATTTGAGGGACAAAGTGAACAAAGAGAGAGGAGAGGAGGCGCACCAAACATGTGTCTGTGTGCGTCTCGTGTGTGATGAATGTGTGTTTGGGCACATACATGAGCGACCACTGCTGATAGATGCTCGGCTTTATTGTGTTGTTACTAAAGACAATACAGCAGCGTGTAGTGGGTTCGATGACAAAAGCAATGTGTCTGCTGGGAAACTGGTTATCCACGGGGTTTAGAGCGCTGAAAAATGGCAATTCAAAACAAAATATATACTTAAAATGGATAAAAAGTGCTCAAAATGGCGCCTTAAGTCAAGAAACCAACTACCGTATTTTTCTAACTATAAATTGCACCAAACTATAAGTCACATTTTTTGGGGGAAATGTATTTTATAAAATCAGAGAACAGGAACCAACATTTCCCATTCTAAGTCAAGTTCTAGTAAAAACAATAGAAGAGAGAACAACAGACTGTTAACGTCACATATGAACAATTCTTCAGATAAATATGGGTCTGGTCAAGTGGTAACGGAGGGAAACAGGGGCAGATTTTTGACATTCAAATGTCTCTTATTCAGAAACTATTCAGGACTATTGAAATAAGTAAAGTATCAGAATGTAGGAAAGAGTTACACTCCAACAGGGTCAAGTTAAACCTGTGATATTCTTTCAAGTTGTTGACAAAAAATTTAAAAACTCATGTCGGTAACAGAGGGAATGAAATATGCAGCACTTTTTGGGCAATAAATCCAAACAGTGATAACTCTTGGTTCTCACTTCCATATCCTTAACAAACTGGTTTGAATATTTGCTTCATATAGTTTTCTACCATATGGTACAAGATTAGGTTGAAAAACCTCTTACTTTTTGACTCATGAGATTTTTTATTAAGAAAGGTCATGGTAACGGAGGGAAAAGTAACGGAGGGAAAATTGTACAAACAAGTAGAAGGTGCAGGATTTTACATCATTTGTCAACTTTTTAAGTTTAATATTACTTCAAAATGAAAGGAAACTATTTCTAAAAAAAATATGTCAGTCCTTTCAAGTAAATTTTTATCATTTTAAATACTTTATTTTTATTTTTATCATGTACCTTCATCAACAGTTCAAAGATGGAATAACACAAGATATGATGAAATACATCCATTTATTTACATGATTTGCAGGTCTTTGAAATTTGGGAAATAATTTTTGTTCCATGTTTCATACATGGTCTGTTTAAAACATATGAAACTTTAGAACCAAAAATGGTACAGAAAAAAGGTCAACAGTTTCATAAACTAGAGTACATATGTATCTGTTGAAAACATTTTTATATCAGATGCATTTACTTGAATTTTTGGCCTTGCTGTTTACTTCTGCTTGACTGGGCCCCTATAACATAAACAACAGAACAGAACAAGTTTACCAAACTCTCCATCTCACTCCAAATCACTAAATCCATTCAATTCTTCATCCTCGGTGTCACTTCTGAACAACAAGGATGGTTTCGGTGTCACTGGAGTCACTTAAATGTTAAATTGTTCAGTGGTGCAGAAGTAATGGTGCGATCGACTGACATGATACAGACAGAACAGAGACTCTTTCTGCAGGAGACATGTGCAGTAGAGCCAAGTGACAGTGGTACAGAAGGAACAGGAGCAGCAGATACTCACACACAAGACTAGAACCTCTCACTGCTTCAGTATGGACATTTTAATATAGAAGTCACACCAGAGTATAAGTCGCAGGAAACACCCAAGCCATGAAAAAAAGTGACTTATAGTCCAAAAAATACATTAAGTTAAAGGTCCTATATTACACAAAATGTGTTCTTGTGAGCTTGAAACCATGTTATAATATTGTTATCTCATCATAAACATACCTGCAGTTGTGTTTTCTTCCACCTTGTGATGTCATGTTGTGGTACTTTTCATAATAAATGACATCTACATTTTAACTTTTGTAGATTGGCAATTCTAGAGCTGAAATGATCCAAATGGTTTTAGTGAAGGTGCATGGAGTTAAAAACACAGTGGAGCACTTCCTGTCCACCACATGACATCACAAAGTGGAGTATAGTATTTCTGATTGAGAGAACATCTCAGCCTAAATCTGCAGGTTTGTGTGTTAAACATGTGTGAATGAAACAAAACACAACTCCAGGTCTCTTAACAGAAAGTTACCTTCACTGCAAAATGTACAAGTGGGCAAGGTACAAACTCAAGGCACTCCGACTGAATATATTACAAGTCCTTTATTACATGAAGGGACACCAATGCATTTTGACCAACACACGTGCCATTAAATACAATGAATTATCAAGCACATGACCACATCACATGACCGCAGGAAAAAAGACAACAAACGAAACAAAAAAGTTTGGCCGACCATGAGGAATATATACTGTAGGTGATGAGCAGACCCACCGAACAGCAGCGAGATAAACAGGACATGTTGGAGATCAGTAGGTGTGTCCATCACATATGCAATAATTAAAATACAATTAGATACCAAAAGTCGAAAACATCAAGTACAGTAAAGAATTGCCAAGAAAGTTCAGTTTCAGAGGAACATTCACAACAACTCCAGGTCTGTTTGCAATGAGGAAAAGTCCATGTATCAATTGTTCATTCGTTTTTCAAAATAAAACCAAAAATAAGAAAACGAAAAAACAACTATTTTCTTCATTGTCTCCAAAACCAGAATGAAAAAACTGATAATGACTGATGATGTTTTTATCAGTTTTCGATTTTGTGTTTAAATGAAAAATGACTTAAACTGAGATGCCGGACTGAACCAGGACTGAACCAGGACTATACTGGTCTCAGTCCCGGTGTCAGTTATGGTCTGGTCCCGGTCTGGTCCCGGTCTGGTCCCGGTCTGGTCCTGGTCTCAGTTCTGGTCTTGGTCCTGGTATAATCCTGGTCTCAGTCCTGGTTTAGACCTGGTTCAGTCCTGGTTCAGTCCAGCATTGCAGTTTAAGTCACAGAAATGGGAAACAGACGTTATTCATTTAAACACAAAATCGAAAACTGAAAAAAACCCAGAATCGTTCTTATTCTTGGTTTTATTTTGAAAAACACATATTAGGAAACTACATTAGAACATCGATCAGAAAATAATGCAGTATTGGCCCTTTAAACAGACCGAGTGGCTGTACTTGTACTCAAAGAAAGATTCAGTAATAGTTTTGCCAAAGCACTCGGTGTCAGTGGTTGAGCGTAATTTCCCGTTTACATTTGGACTGGATCAGATCTGAATTATTGACTTCTTAAAGTACTCTGAAAAATCAACGTTTTGGAACTTTCTACCATGTTATAACATTGTCCACTCATCAAAAACATCCCTGAAGAGGTTTCAGATGTCCTCCATGCATGTTTGAGTATTTTATCAGTCTCTCTTGGGCCCAATTCAAACCCACCGCACTATTGGCTCTGAGATTCTTTCCAAAGCTCTGCCCACAAGTCTTCAATTCTCCATAAATAGACAAAAGCATATCAAACAAAGCAGTACAACTTCACAAACCTGATGTGATGTGCAGTAGTTTTATTAGCGGGATGCACGCTGATTGTGTTGTGATGATGCTCTGAAGGGGGAGTGACTTGGCAGCAAAGAGCAAAGGGAGGGGTGTCTCAGAGTGTAAAAAAATAAACTAGTACTTATAAACAATGTTAATACATGTTGTCAGTGAATACAGCAGTTTCAGAACATTAAAAGTTGGTAAACTTTTAAATATATTATGTGTTACAGTCAGTGTTGGGGAGTAACTGATTACATGTACCAGAGTTATGTAATCAGAGTATAAATTATGAGTAACTGTATTCAGTTACAGTTACTGTTTAAGTGACTGGTAATTAGATTACAGTTACTTGGTTGAAATAAATGGATTACACAGAGGTATTTTCCTGTTTTCACATTTTGGGCTATTCCCTTTTTTTTTTCTGTTTGGTAATTCCACTCATTGTCAGACACTAAACCTGGACTAAACCTGGACTAAACCTGGACTAAACCAAGTCTAAACCAGAACTAAACCAGGACTAAACCAGGACTAAACAAGGACTAAACCAGAACTAAACCAGGACTAAACCAGGTCTAAAACAGGATTTAAAAGGACTAAATCATGCTGCACAAACCGTGTCTCCTCGTCTTCTATCAATAATATTTTAAGTATGGTTCAGTAAAGTCTGGGCTTTTCATTGTTTTTTCGCAGACAAAACATCTTACGTGAAGATATCCGAGTCTTTGCTTCTCTACAGAAAATCAAGTAATCCAAAGTATTCAGATTACATTACTCACTTTAAGTAATTTAATGGATTACATTACAAACTACATTTTGGGGTATGTAATCTGTAATCTGTAGGGGAATACATTTTAAAAGTCACCTTCCCAACACTGGTTACAGTTAATACCACATTTTTAAATATATGAGCCAGATTTAAACGTATGTTTTTATGACAAATGACTTTAATGCAAACACATTTTAGTGAGTCTTTTTATTTGAACCCTAAGTGAAAGAAAACATACACATAACTGCAAACTGTAGGAGTCATCCCCACCAGATTTGGACCATCATATCCTGCTGCCTCCTGCCTGCTGTTCTCAGATGACCTCTGACCTCTGACCTGTTCTGAGTTAGTTTAGGTTACAAATACAAGAGAAGTGTGTTGAAATATTCATGGTGAATATAAATATAGAAGGATATAACTGTCATTTGGTGTCACTTTTTAGAATCGCTGCACACAACATTCATGTAAAATTAGACGTGGCACAGTTCATTCTGAAAGACTTCTTCTAAAATGGCCGAGGGGTATTATACAAAATCGATTTCCTGAGCTTTCTACCATGTTATAACTCCACGTTCTCATCTGACCTTTGCCCTCTGCCCTCTGTCCACAGAACCTGCTCTTCCCAAACCAGCCTCCTCAGCCCAACAGTCGTTTCTCGGTGTCTCCCGGAGGAGACCTGACCATCTCCAGTGTCCAGCGCTCGGACGCGGGCTTCTACATCTGCCAGGCCCTCACCGTGGCGGGGTCCATCCTGGCCAAGGCCCAGCTGGAGGTCACAGACGGTGAGGAGCAGGGAGCATGTTCATGAGATGTTTTTCAATGGTTCCTTAATGTGAACTGTTGAAACTGAATCTTTGTGTTTCTAATTTGTCTGCATATTTACACTGATTAACTCTGAACCAACACAAGAATCAGCACAGAAGCAAACGACAACATGAGTGAGAGCTGTGTGCAAAAAACATATTTGGCATGTTTGTTTTTATTTTAAATGATTAGTATTGTATTGGAACTTCTTTTTATATATATTGCACATTGTTCCAAAGGGTTAACTCACTCCCACTCTCAGTTTGAACAAAGCTGAGCCTTGGTCATTTCTCTGTGGTCCATTTGTTTATAAAATGAGTAAAGCCAAAACACTGGCTTCTGTCACACTTAGTAAAAGAGCCAGTCTTTTGAACGGCTCTTTGAAAGGAACAGAGCCAAAAGATTCGGATCCAATAAAAGAGCCAAAAGTCACATTACTAGTGGAGGACACAAGCCACTCTGTGTTCACGATCTCACATGGTCCAGTGTGTTTGAAGCTACTACAATATTGTGACCAAATCAGTTAGGAAAGTCTATATTTGATCCTCACACAAACCACTAACAGGGTTTGAACAAGCGTCCAACAGGAAATCCATAACAAAAACAATTGATTTAGACAAATATAGATCTAAACTGCTGGTCAAAAGTTTTAGAACCAGTTTTTTTTTTTTTGTTTGTTTGTTTTACTGAAAGTTTATTGTGTCATTGCATTGTGACATGAAAGCATAGAACTAATAAGTGAGTAAAAAAAAACAAAAAAAAACAATAATAATAAATAATAAAAATAAATATTATAATAATAATAATAATAATAATAATAGAATCAGTTTATAGACCAAAATATATTCTAAACTTTTGACTCATCAAAGTGTCCACCTTTGGCAGATAGAACAGCTGAACACACTCATGGCTCGTTCTTTTTACAATAGAAGTAATGTAAAAAAGTACAGATACCTTCTTCCAAATGTAGTGAAACAAAAGTAAAAAGTATCCACTGAAAATGTACTCAAGTAAAGTACAGACTTCTACGTAAGTGCAGTACTTTCCTATTCTTTATTCAATACGATCCACCACTGATAATTACACAGTTTTAAAAGGACACTACCGGGCAAAAGTTTTAGAACACCACACTTTTTCATTTTTTTTTACTGTTTTCTGTTTACTATTGACCAAAATATATTCTAAACTTTTGACTCATCAGAGTGTTCACCTTTGGCAGATAGAACAGCTGAACACACTCGTGGCTCGTTCTTTTTACAATAGAAATCAAATATTGTTGAGAAAGTTCTTCCCAAGTCTGTTGCAGAAGTTTCCATAAATGTGTGGCACTTGTAGGTTGCTTCACTCTTCTGTCCAGTTCATCCCAAACCAGCTCCATGGGGTTTAATTCTGGACACTGTGCTGCTGCTGGACACTCCAGGTTTTCAAGCTTTATCATCTTGTTCTTTTTTCCTGAGGTAGTTTTGGCAGAACTTGGACTTGTGTTTTGTTCTTTTATCTCTTTTTCAACCTCTGTCTGTTCAGTTATTTCCTTTTGTGCCATTTCAGGCTCTTCATTGGACTTGCATGACTTGAATTGCAATAAATAACTGGAAAAATGAGGGTGTTCTAAAACATTTGACCTGTAGTGTATGTTTTATATACCAGGCATCAGTGTTGTCGCGATACAATCATTTCGCAACTCAATTTTGATACTTCTACATATTCAATACTGATCCCGATACCACATTTAAAATAAAAAAGACTCATAAATAGTAATAAAATACTAGTCCATGTGCTCTTATACTTGTTCTAATACAGCTCAAGATCATTCTAAAGACATTCAGGAAAGACTTTGTTAGTTTTAATAACTGCAAATAGTAAGTATTAAGTATGAGTTCTGATACTAGTTGTAGGATCTGTAGTAGTAGAATTGATTTACGATACTTTTGGCAACTCAACACTCAATGTGAGACCAAAAAATTCTCATGCAAATCATAATTTAGAAGCCTTCATAAGTTCTTGGCGTCCTTGGTCCTTCTTCCCATCTCCAGCGCCACGTCCTTCAAACCTCCAACATTTTACAAAAGCGATTCTTCCCTCTTTACACTTTTAAATCACATCTTTCCTTTTACGAGCTCTCTCACACTGAACGCCCACACTCCCTAATTCCATTTCTCCTCTCACAAGTGCCAGAACCTCAAGCTCCGCTCTGTCCCTGACCTCCAAGCGCTGGCTGTTTTTCTCGCCGCACAATTTAATTAAAATTTCCTACATTTTCTGGCATGGCGGCTGGAATAAAGCAGCGGTCGCCCTTGTATTTTTTATATATTTTTTATTCACGATGGAGAGAATGTCCGTACAGAAGGAGGAGGAAGGAGTGATTGAGTGGAGCGGTGACAGGAGATGAAATATGGGCCGGCGCTGGTGTTGGGAGGCCATCGAATACTACGTGGGGGGTATACACACACATCCACACACACGTAATAGGTCCCATATCACACAGGATTGACTCTTGTGAGCTTTAAGACGTGTTATAATGTTTCCTCCTCAAAAACAAACCTGGAATTGTGTTTTGCTCGAAATGCTCGGTTCCACCTTGTGATGTCATGGAGCAGGAGTTTGACCTTTTACTTTTAGTTCAGTAGAGACTGGCATTTCCAGGGCTGAAATGATCCAAATGATTGAGTTGGAGCACTTCCTGTATTACCTCATGACATCACAAGGTGGAACAGAGTGTTTTCTGTCTGAGAGAGTTGTTGGTTAGAGTGTGGTAGTTGTTCATGTAGTACTGGTAGTACTTTTGGTCTACAGTAGTAGTTGTGGACCTAGTTGTAGTGGTATTAGTAATAGTGGTAGTGGTAGTAGTAGTAGTAATAGTAGTAGAAACAATGGTAGTGGTAGTAATAGACATGTAGTTACCGTAATAGCAGTGGCAGTAGTGGTACTACTACTACTACTAGTAGTAGTATAGTAGTATAGTAGTATAGTAGTATAGTAGTAGTAGTAGTATAGTAGTAGTAGTAGTAGTAGTAGTAGTATAGTAGTCTAGTAGTATAGTTGTATAGTAGTAGTAGTAGTAGTAGCAGTAGTAGTAGTAGTAGTAGTAGTGGTTGTTGTTGTAGTAGTAGTAGTTGTTGTTGTAGTAGTAGTAGTGTGTAGTGGTTGTTGTTGTAGTAGTAGTAGCAGAAGTAGTGGTAATAGTTGTAGACATGTTGTAGTTAAAGTAGTAGTAATTGTGGTAATTGTTGTTGTAGTATTGATAGTAGTAGTGTTATTAATTAAATAATTAATAATAATTAAATTACCACAATTACTACTACTAGTAGTAGTAGTAGTAGTAGTAGTAGTAGTAATTGTGGTAATAGTTGTCATAGTATTGATAGTAGTAGTAGTAGTTGTTGTTGTAGTAGCTGCGGAAGTAGTGGTAATAGTTGTAGATATGTTGTAGTTATAGTAGTCGTAATTGTGGTAATAGTTGTCATAGTACTGACAATAGTAGAAATAGCAGTAGTAGCAGGAGTAGTAACAGTAGTAGTAATGGTAGAAATAGCAGTAGTAGCAGGAGTAGTAACAGTAGTAGTAATGGTAATAGTCGCAGACATGGTGTAGTTATTATAGTAGTAATTGTTGTCATAGTATGGGTAGTAGTAGTAGTAGTAGTAGTTGTTGTTGTTGTTGTAGACATGTTGTATTTATGGTAGTAGTAATTGTGGTAGTTGTGTGTCATAGTATTGATAGTAGTAGTAATAGTAGCATTAGTAGTAGTAGTAGTAGTCGTAGTAGTAGTAGTAGTAGTAGTAGTAGTAGTAGTAGTAGTAGTAGTAGTAGTAGTAGTAGTAGTAGTAAATCTAAAATCACTTGTTGCTGCCAGTTATCATTACAAACTTGGAATAGTGAGCTTTTTTAAAATGTAATGTTTGTGCATTTATCGTAATAGTAGTTATAATCTAGTAGTAGAAGAAGTAGTAGTAATAGTAGTAATAGTAGTAGGAGTAGAGGCTAAACATGATGAAATGGAGTAAAGTTTACAAAAGTACTGTCCTCAGATCACAGTAACAGGTGTGTGGTTGTTAGCACATACATAGTTGAAATATCTGGTGTATGTTTGGTCCATGTTTGTGGTTGGTGGTACTGCCCGCTCCGTCTGTGGAGGGAGGGAGTGCAGGGGCCAGCCGGAGATCAGGGTCACACCTGCCGCCACTGCCGCCGCCGGGTGATTTACTGCCCCCGGGTCCCTCCCGTCAGTCTGGGGTTCAAGGACACGTGCGATCACAAATACTCTATCTTCTTCACAGTCAAGGCCGGTGACCAGACCTCACCACCACCACCACCTCCCACAACCACCCACCCCCTCACAAACCCCCCCCTCCCCGATCTGTCAGTCTGAGCTGCCGGCAGGAGCGGACAGGTGTGGGGCTAGTGTAGGTTACAAACACTGGAGAAGTGTGTGGAAATGACACGGTGTGATACTGGGGTCAGAGGTGGCACCATGTCGTCGTTTTGCACGGCTCAAGTCTTTGACCTCAAGTCCGAGTCAAGTCCCAAGTCAAATACAGACAAGTCCGAGTCGACTCTCGAGTCACTGGCCCGTTAGTTCAAGTCAAGTCCAAGTCGTCTGCTTTGAGCTTCAAGTCATTTCAAGTCTTTAAACCAAAGTACCAAATAGAGCTTTAGTTTTTGCTGTTTATATGAATTTTAAGCTAAATTATAAAAAAAAAAAATCGTGGTATATTTCTGTGAGTATTTATATGAGTTATAGACATTCTTTTTATTCCTTTTTAAATTGTTTCTTGTTTCTTGTTTGCTTAGCTTTCTATTGTGTCATAACTCATCATAAACCTGTCTGAAGAGGTTTGAGATGACATCTATGTGTGTTTGAGTAATTTAGTGATCTCACCCTGGGCCTATTCAGACCGTCCTTACAGTGAGCAGATCTCTGTGTACATGAGTGTGGGTCTGACAGGCGTGTGCAGGACGCAGGTGCTTTTCTTCAACA